CTGAAAAACTCGCATACACGTTATGAATTTGTCAACGTGGTATATTATTTAAATGCTACCAAGTTACATATAGCTTAATCTGTTCATAAAGATTAAGAGCATGCGGGAATTGCAAAGGACAAACCTGTTGCTTGAATGGTAACCAGCGATCGTGGCAACTTTTGCCAAAGCTTGTCTCCATCTCTTAATAACCTCTGGTTTTTTACCCGCACAATTTTTCATGAAGAACTTCCCAAAATCTCCGGTCTGTTTCTTTACATCAGTTGGATCTACTTTATAGAAAATGGCCATCACTATTTGACCTTCATTGCCCTTCATAATCTCCAGCAATTCATCAAGACACCACGACGAAGAACCGTATCTTTTAGAGAGCAAGACAATCGCGATCCTCGATCCTTTGATAGCTTTTACGAGCTCAGGGCCGATAAATTCTCCTCTCTTGATATCGTTATCGATGAACACGGTGATTCCTTTGCTTTTGAATTCCTTCATAATGTGACTGAGAAACGAGTTTCTGGTATCTGGTCCGTGGAAGCTGGGGAAGACATCTGTTATCCAGTTACGAGGCAAAGAAGATGGAGAAGACAAAAGAGATAAAGAATCCATTAGAAGAAAGATCGAGAGAGAAGATAAATATCTCGCAATGTTTTTCAGAAATGGAGAGGGCTTGTTTGGTCAATAGATGGAACAAGGTTTTATAGTGAGGGGATTTTCTACCGATGATATTAGAGTTAAACAAAAAATGCCAAACTTCCTCATTTATCTCCAAGTCAAACAAAAAAAATGTCACTTAACAAAAAAAGATAACGTGGTCATTTTTTTATACTCATTCAAACTTAATTTAACACAATACTTATAGCTTAGGTACCTTTCAACCAATAGGAGATATGACACCCTAACACAACATCATAAATATTAAGAGAAGAAGCAAACTTAGCAATCAAAATGTGTCATTATATCTACTTTTCTCAAGATGTAATAGAATTTACAAATAAATTTCGATGTCAAACAAAATAACAAACGTCGCTTAAAAAGATAACTTGGTCCGAAAAAGATTTAAAAATGGAATGGTCACCTCTACTCTTCTCAAGACGCTAATAGAATTTACAAGTAAAATTCTAAGAGGGAAACATTTTCTGAAGACTAATATAATTACCATTTGGCTGAAATTTGAATTTCAAAGTTTCTGTATCAACTAATGCTTTGAAAAATGAGTTGTAATTGATTCAAGTAAGTATATATAAACCAATTTTACAAATTTTCTTGTTGGAAAATCTTTGAATCCATATATCTTAAGTGTTGGAACTCATTTTGACAATATGATTTTAGACAACGTTTTGGTGAGTTTTTTGGCGAAATCATTCATCGGAATTTGGTACGATGAAATCTTCGCCGTCGTGGCATAATGTACTTGTCAGAATCGCAGTATATTTGGACATTCAATCTTTCCATTATTTCTATCTCAAACTCAGTTTCTCTTTAGCTCTATCTAAGCTTCTTCCTTTCAGAACGTCGGTTCCTTCATTTTTAGTGAAATTTCTCTCACATTTTCAACCATCTCCAAGGATACCTAACCCTCTTATTGGTTTTAAGGAGTGTTCCGTTGGTTAGGATTAATCAAATTTTGCCAATACTTCTGTTCACCAAGCAAGAAGCTGAAGAACTCAAAAGGAATTAGATTGGATAACGATTTTGTATTACATGTGCGTTGACCATGTTTTAAAAACAAAAAGACACAAAAACACAAATAACAAGTCTTTCCTATTACAAATCTCAAACCACACACTCTTTATTATTGTCTAACTCAAAATTCACTCAAGTTCTGTAGGAATACTTTGTTCATGTCTAAAGAAATTCTCTGGATCAAACTTAGCTTTAATCTTCACCAACCTCTCAAAATTTCCCTTGAAGTACTTATTCCCCCATTCTCTTGCATCATTCCCTTTACCATTCATCCCCAAATCAAGATCTCTATAGTTCACATACGCGGATCTCGGACTTTTCGATACATACTGCTCCATGTAAGTATACATTTCCCTCATCCACTCCATATGTTTCGCCTCGCTCGCTTTCCCGTCTTGCCACAAAGTTAACCATTGGATCTTGAACAATGTCCCACTCCTATGTGGGAAAGGTATCTCTGTCTCGGGGATTTTCGCCATCATTCCTCCATAAGGATTCCATATTGTCAATGGTGAGTCCTCTTGTAGAAACTTTTCCCATAAACCTTCTAATCCTTCTATTGGAATTGGCTCTTCCACATAGTCTGACTTGGCTTTGAAGTAATTCTTGAACAACGATTTCCCGGCGAGTAATGCTTCCGGTGGCGCAGTGCTTGGAAAACCCGCAATGTACATTACCGATTTAATCCAGCTTGTCTCTAAACAATCTTTCTTCGTTAATCCTAGCTCTGGGAAACTCCTCTGCATCACCTGTTAAGAAACCAAGGTTGAAATTGTCATAATCGAAACTTCACCACACTTTTTCATAAATTGCAATATATACCCGTAATTTACACAAAATTCGAATTTGAGACCACATTATTTACTCAAATTCTATAATTTGGGGGTTATTCATTAATAAAATCTACTTTTCAAAAACCGAAAAACCCAAAGTTCAAGAAACTCGAACCGAACCATTGCCAACCCAACTCTAAATCGTTCACATTAAAGGATTTTTAAAACTTTGCAATATAGACCCGTAAGTTTAGACAAAATTCGAATTTTACATTATTATTACCTGCAAAAGCCGATTAGCGTCACCAAGAAATTGACCTTGGTACGAAGTCGAGATAGTTCTCTCTTTGCTCGTAGATGTTTTCGCTGGCGAAATAATCACTCGAATAAATAAATCTTCGTCGAGTTTATCAGCGACTTGTTGCCATTTATACAAAAGCTTAGTCCCGTCTTGCTCTAACGTCCTAGTAACAGTGAACACCGTCACGGTCTCCGGCACCGGAACAAGCTTGATTTTCCAGGCGAGGATAACTCCGAAGCTTCCTCCACCACTACCACGAAGAGCCCAGAAAACGTCTTCTCCCATCGCCGCACGGTTCAAGATTTTACCGTCGGCGTCAACGATTCTGGCGTCGAGAACGTTGTCGGCTCCGAGACCGAACTTACGCATCATCGAACCGTAAGCTCCACCGATTATGTGTCCGCCGATTCCTAGGCTTGTGCATAAACCGGCTGGAAAACCGTGGATTTTGCTTTTCTCTTGGATTCTGTAAAACCGAGAAAGTAAAACCGATTAATAACCGGATCATAACCGTAGCTCAACCATATTCGGTTTGAATCTTTGATTAACCATATTCGGTTTATTATCGATTTGTAAAATCCACACACCATAAAAGAAAAGAAAAATCCGCTAACAATAACTTTGATGAGTCAACGACTATACAGTACTGTATATTATAACCAATTTTAACATTTAAGTACTAAAACAGAATAAACCAATGGTTTAACCGTAATATTGGTTTGATTCATCGCATATATGTGGTCTACTTGGTTCTGTGTGGTGGCATCGTATTCGTATCCCCCGAAAAAAGTCATGAGTTTTAAACCTTAAAATGAAATACTTTCTAAAAGAAATAAAGTGTCCCTTTCAATTCAAAAAAAAAAAAGAAATAAAGTGTCCCCGAAGAAACCAAATTTATACTTTTGTGTAAATTCGAATATTTTAAAAATCAGTGTGTAGCCCTTTGCTTCGGTAAATAAGTGTAGCTTGTC